TTTAGGACTTCTGTTATTGGCATTAACCACCACATAGTGTATCCAAACTCCTTCATTAAAGAAATGTAATGTAATTTATTAAATACATTTAAACTTCTAGTTCACATTTTTGACTGAAATTAATCGCTAACATTTCATCATGGTGTTTTAAGATTATTGCTCTGCAACAAGACACAACTTTTATTTCCGGACAATTTCCTGTTTTTATTTGANTATCCAAACTCCTTCATTAATGAAATGTAATGTATTTCTTAATGTTTTCATTCTTTCCAAATTCGACTTTTTTGTTTCGGTTTGTTTTATTTCTTCCACAACTCCGATAACAAGTTACACTTGATCAGATGTGCAGATCAACCTCCATGTGTAATTGTATTTCCTATTTGTTGTTATTAAATACATTTAAACTTCTAGTTCACATTTTTGACTGAAATTAATCGTTTTAAATGATTGCTCTGCAACAACACGAGCTCTGGTTGCACTGTACAAAAGGGCCATTGTTTCCAGCCAGATGCAGAGAGTGGTTTCATACAAAGTCATATTCAAGATGTTCATCTACAGTACATCGTTCATTTTGAATAACATATTGTGGCATTTTTGGATGGTTGGAACAATGTTGTTTGCAACTAAATATTTGTAAAACAGTATGCATCTTCTTTACCAAAACAAAGTCTTCTTGTGTTGAGCCAAATGCTTTTGTAACAGGGGAGAGGCTACAGGTGGTGTCACAATACAAGTACCTCGGAGTCATGATTGATTCCACACTCAATTGTAAAGCTCAGGTTAAAAAAGTATGTAACAGGGTCAAATTCAGTCTGTTGAATCTTAGGTTCACCAGAGATTACATGTCAACTGAAGCAGCTCTGATGTACACACACTCTATTGTTCTCTCACACATCACCTACTGCTTAACGACCTGGTCACATGCCAGTACAACAACATTAAAACCACTGGAGTCATTGTACAAACAAAATAATATATATATATAAAAATACTGGACAAAATAATCTGTTTATTTGCTCTATAATGAGCAGTAATCTGCATTTAGTGTAGTGGGATACACTGAGTTACTCTGTTGAAATGCACACTCATTACATTTACATTTGATTTTGTGATTGCTTTTATTTTGCTGTAGTAGTATCATGCACTCATGACTGGACCTCTGGATCAGAGTTGGAGATGACAGTCAGACCAGGACACAACATCACTCTCTTCTGTGACTGCAAGTTATCAAGTTCAGATTCAGAAGGTTTAAATTCACATGCTCAGTTTAAGTATTCAATCCCTCCTGCTTTTCTTTCAGTTGTTGTGCCCATCTGTAATCAGACTTTTCTCACAGTAACTTTGTCATTATGTTATGTATTAGATCATGAAGTGATGACATGTTTTATGAAGTTTGGGTTTATTGCCTCCTTACTTTCATTAAAAACTAAATGTTCTTACTGAATAAGCTGTGTGCAAATAAAAAATCATCAACTAACAAAAATGCTCATTTTCTTTATTAAATTTGATATCATTAGACATAGTTGAATCCTGATAAGAAATTATCAATACAAGAAATAATAATAAATACATTGAAAGGATAGCAGGATGAACATTTTCAGTATTCCAGAAAACAGTCAAATTCAAAATATTTTTGATTAATATCACAAAGCATACTTTGTATCCAAATGTTCACTCCTTGAACTTGACCACTATTATCTCTGTGAGGCAATTGTATTTTGCATAGAAACATTAACCATTTAATTGTTCTGTTCTATAACTGTCATTTAGATATGCATTTTATGAGGCTTGCATGCCCAGAAGGGTCACATCATCATTGTGACATCAATATCTTGTTCTAATAGCTACTTTTCCTGCCATATGCTGTTAAATTACAGCTGTGTTATAAAGGAATATGACAGTTAATACACCAGTTTTGCCTTTAAGTCTGAAAAAAACACCAATATTTCGACCAACAAAAAATCTAGATAAGAACAGTTAAGCCAATTTATATTCAGTTCAATGCTTTCTCCCTGATTTACAAATCAAGCTACGTTTTTATTTTCACATAGGACTCTAGTACTTAAAATGTTAAATCACAAATAACAACAAAACATAACTTTTTTTTGCATTTATTGAAGCTGAAGATGTTTTAGTGGGCCTTACAGACCCAGATGGGCAACAGGTGCCCATTCGGTTTTTGTTTTCCTTGAGCAGAGCCACGTAGGAGATCTTCGGGTAACACTTTATGGTAAGGGTACATGAATCATCATGAATTCATGCATGACTTAATGCATGAAAAAGCATGAATTCATTCATGCAGTACTTCATGAACTATCAGTACTATCACTAACAATACCTTCATTAATGCATCAACTAAGGTATCTCAATCATCATGACTTCTGAGTTATTAATGATGTTCATGTCTTCTTCATATAGATCTGCAGTTAAAGTGACAGGCCAAAAAGCTGACCAGTCACAGCAATTCCAAGAGTTGTAATCATGATTAACTCAGCATGATTGTGTCATTACTTCATCATGTTTGTGCCCCTTCAAATAAAGTGGTGACCTGTTCCGTTGTTTACACTGATAAATAACATATGATTAATGGCCTATGTGAAATCACCTTCATTAACCATTTGGTGCTCATGCATCAATCATCTTTGTGATCCCTCAAATAAAGTCAGCCCTTATGTCTATTAGGCATCANTGTGTGCCCTTGGCAGTCTCATGGTTCAGCCCTCAACAGCTCTACGTCAATTATGGGGTGTCATCATATGCCGTTTCCATGGAAACGCATCCCTTGCCATAAAACACGATGCCACTGTAACTCCAATGGACACGGTCCGATCGCCCCCTAAACTTTGCTTGTCGATCACCGGTCCATGCCTCAACAGCTTTACGCCAAATCTGAGATCTCACCATAGGCTGTTGCCATAGAAACGCATCCCTCGCTATAAGACACGATGTTGTCGTAACGCCTATGAAAAGGGTCAAAACAGCACCACACTTCAGATAATGGTTAACGGTCCAGCCATCAACAGCTCTACGTCAATTATGGGGTTTCATCATATGCCGTTTCCATGGAAACGCATCCCTCGCCATAAAAGACGATGTCGCTATAACTCCTATGAAAATGTTCAAAAAGTGCTCAAACTTCACATGTGTGCTAACAGTCCAGCCGTGAAGACATCTACGGGACAGTTTTGAGATTTCTTCAAATGCCGTTGCCATGGCAACTATGGGTGTAACGGTATACGTATTCGTACCGAAATTATTCGGTATGGGCTCTTCGGTTTGGTACGTGTGTGTACTGAAGTGTACCGAACAAATATAACGTTAAAGGTAAAAAAATTAGAACGTAAACAACTTTTTGGAAGTAATCTCAGGTGCTGCGTCTTAGCGTTCAGTGTAATTTGCTCACATTGGGTTCACCGCGTCATAGAGCGACCAAGTCATTTCATTGGACGAGAGGCATACTATGAGAGCTGGTCACAGGGATGCGTTCAAATTTAGCCCCGGTGGACAGAAACAGTAGGAACATTGAATTAGACGCTTGGTTTTACAAAAGGCTTTGCCTCTGAAAGTCACTAACGACCTCCTAAAGCTCAAGTTGAAATAGACGNATTAATGCATCAACTAAGGTATCTCAATCATCATGACTTCTGAGTTATTAATGATGTTCATGTCTTCTTCATATAGATCTGCAGTTAAAGTGACAATGGGTATTTTCTTGCTCAGCTCCCTTGACTAATTGGAGATATGTTCAGGGGAAACTAATTGTCCAACTCTGAGCAACAAGTGTAAAGCTATATTTGAGAAAAACCTCCAATGCTTAGTAACCATAACAAAAGGGCTATTTGCATTGTGTGCAGTTCCAAAGGAAGACAAATTAGTTTTTAATCAAATGTTATAGTCTTTCACAATGAACGGGAAATGTGCAAGAATAAACCTTGTTCATATAGATCTGCAGTTAAAGTGACAGGCCAAAAAGCTGACCAGTCACAGCAATTCCAAGAGTTGTAATCATGATTAACTCAGCATGATTGTGTCATTACTTCATCATGTTTGTGCCCCTTCAAATAAAGTGGTGACCTGTTCCGTTGTTTACACTGATAAATAACATATGATTAATGGCCTATGTGAAATCACCTTCATTAACCATTTGGTGCTCATGCATCAATCATCTTTGTGATCCCTCAAATAAAGTCAGCCCTTATGTCTATTAGGCATCATGTATTTGGCAATATTACAAATGCAAATTAGATCATAATTTTGGACTTAACTTCAATGATCAATTATTTGGTTAGGACTTTTTGTATGTATCATACAGTATTATCTTAAAGCTCACAAACCATTTAAGATAACTCATTCATAATATTAACAAACTTTAATTTATAATCCAAAGCCAACAAGATCACATTTTCACATATCATGTCACATAAGAAAGCAATAAAACAATTCGGCAAAGTCACAAGATACATGGCAATAGTAAGTTAATAGTAAATCATACCATATTTATATTGTTGAATTATGTGTGATTTTAACTTGACCACAACAGATAAAATGCATTACTTGCATATAGACCATCAGGGATTTATCTTTCAGAAAAAAACACCTGACTCGTAATGATAATAGATGTGAGGCACGGACAGGGGGTATCTTGAAACGTCCATCTTCTTCATATCNCAATGTCGCGCTGTAGCACAAAATACCCGCTCCTACGCAAAGGTTTATCTTTGCCGTATACTACTGTCGGGGTATTAACTCGGACCAACTTCGCCGTCCTGGTAGATGCGTAATAGACTTCAGACGACGACGAAAATACCACTCCCTAGCAACGGTATCTTGTGCGTCGTAATCATTTCGTAGTCGTAAAACTACAGTCTCGACGACAATTGGTAATAGACTTCAAGACGACGAGACGGTCGTAACAGTCAACCTCAATACTGTAGGCAGCAAGGTACTGTGGTCGCCGACAAAAATAAACTTCGCTTGCTGCGACAGGTCTCTCAAGTTCCAAAGGTACCACTACGTTATTTACGACACGGTCCGATCGCCCCCCAAACTTCGCTTGTATATCACCGGTCCATGCCTCAACAGCTTTACGCCAAATCTGAGATCTCATCTCACCATAGGCTGTTGCCATAGAAACGCATCCCTCGCCATAAAACACAATGTCGCTGTAGCTCCAATGGACACGGTCTGGTCGTCCCACAATCTTCACCTGTATATCACCTCTCCATGCCTCAACAGCTCTACGTCAAATCTAATATCTCACCATATGCCGTTTCCATGGAAACGCATCCCTTGCCATAAAACAGTGGCGGTTTTCTCATAACTTCAATGAAAATGCTCCAAATGGCCCAAAACTTCACAGGTTTGGTTACGATCCAGCCATCAACGCATCTAAGCGTATTATGGGATGTCATCAAATGCCGTTGCCATGGCGACAGATCATTCGCCATCAAGTTAGTTCAAAAGTTTGCAGTTCCAATATTCTGCTGCTTTTCCAAGCCTTTTTACTTTCTTTTCTTCTCTCATCACACATTCAAGCCCCCAGTGTTCATGTATCATTTCAATCTAAATTCTTCACTTTC